GCCCCATGAAGGAGAAGCTCTTGTTGAAGCTTTGTGATCGCCTCATAGCCGCCTTGGATGTCATCTTTCCTGGCAGATCCATCCGTTCAGATGGTACGGTGCAGTCTGGATAAAGGACGAAGTCCAACGCCGCTAACCCCGCGACCGCCACCCAAGAACGTGGCCGCAGACCGAACGGGCGTGAGGGCCGTAAGGGCCACCCCGCCATCCGGTAGGTGGCTGAGCAGCCGGGCGCAGCGGCGCCTGGGCGGCGGCCGCGCTGAGATGAAGTCCCAAACCGCCATGTCGCCATCACCGCCATCACCCTTGCTGCAGCTGTTCCCAACCGCCTCCATTGCCGCCGTTGTCAGGTGTTGCCAGCAGCCGCGCCGCGGGATGGCAGAAGCTCCAGAGTAGCCTCCAGCGCCCCTCTCCGCACGTGTGCAGGTGCTCTGCGGCCGCCGGGTCCGACGTCCAGGCAGAACATGATATTTCCATGCTGCTCCGACGGTGGGCTTATCTTGTTTGGGCGTTCCTCCACTGTGACGTCGGTCACGCCTCCCCCGGCCAGGGCGTAGAAGCCGACGTCTCACCATCCGGTTGCGGTCCTCGGTCAGGTCGCAACGTGTACCTCTACCGCAGCGTGGAGCGCGCTCCCGCTGGGCAGCGATACAGCCAAACGTAACATGCGGGCGGCCAGCGCTGCGCCGGACAGCGGACCCATGCCGGTCTCGGCCATTAGCGGGGTCGTCGGGGCCGAGGCTGGTGACCGCGGCTGGTGACATACGAGGCTGGTGACATACAGCTGGTGACCGCGTGAGCCGCCAATCGAAGGTCACGGCTTATAAGCTCGACGCGGGCATCCCACGCCGTCCCGATGGGAGCTCCACGACGCCGCCGCGAACTCCAGCAGCGCGGCTCGCAGCGCGAAGACCGGTACGGACGGCCGGGGCGCAAACGGCGTGCGGGAGTCGCAGGCGAGTGAAGACGTTCTGCGGACAGAAAGGGTTGGGCATAAGCTGGTCGGCAGGACACTCTTGAGCCGAGCCTTTGATGTAATTACAGATGATCCAGAAGCATGCACAAAAATTCATGACACACTATTCTCATGTATGCATTTGCTGCATATGATATGATATACGAGCTCATGATCAGTGACGCAATACGCATTCTTGGCAATATGTTCTAAAGTGAAGTAACTGAAGTTACTATTGACAGCTTTAAAAAAAAACGCACACGCACACACATTCGATAGCTTATGAGAATAACATGCCTTGTCTGCTTAATGCAGGAAAATATTTTTCACTTTTTTTTTAGAAACAGCAAAACAGTTGTCAACAAGTCATGTCAACTATCTAAACAATTTTTATGGAAACTGCTCTAGTTCTCTCTCTTAAAGTTCCACAACGTTTCCGGAGCACTGTACCCAAACTCAGTTCATGTTACAAGAAAAAACAGTAATAATGCCTCCTAATTTTGAATGAAATATAGGTATGAGTAATTTGATTTGGAAAGCAACACATTTCCGCACATCATTTAAGCAAAATTACTATTTTCTTCAGCCATTAGGTTACACAAAACTATAGTAAACATTATGATCTAGTTTACACAAAACCAAAGCCCCGATTTTAACAAATGTAGATTAAATTTAAACAATTTTAACAAATGTATCGTGGAGAAAATGAAAAGTGTAGATTTGTAAAGCCGGGATATTTCACGGATTAGGCACTTACAGAAATATCTTCACATTTCTTTGAGCCACCAGCCTTCACCCAAGTTTTACACGAATGTAGTGAAGCAGACAATGTGGCAACTCAAAATTGTGATGGTTTGAGATAATTATGACGGTAAAAGAAAAAGCAACACAAGGTTCCTTACCCTCGTTTTTTCACATGGGTTCAGATGAGGCTTCAACTGTTGCCGACCTGAGGAGCTATAGGGACTTGAGCTTTCCAAAACTCAATTTCTAAGGGCACTGAGCAGTGTTTGGCTTTCACACGAATGCGATAGTAAGTTATATGAAGTTGACAAAGCAAGCAAAGCAAAGCATGATGCCCCGCGCGTCCGCCCGCGACCACGCCCCGCGTCCGACTCCCGACCGCCGCGTGACCCGAGGCGCCCGGCGGTCACGTGACCTACCGGCCGGGACTGCAAACGGCCCTCACCACCATTCTTGTATGACGTCATATCCTACTGAGGTGCTGATTGGTCGGAATTAGATACCTGAAGGTAATTATCTGCCGTAGGGTTTTTTGTTTCATTGTTTTGCGTGTTTTCTTATATGAAATGTAATTAAAAAATTTGTCATATTTTAATCACCATTAAAACATAACTGAATAGGTATAAAAGAGAACTCGATATATACTTTCCTTGTTTTTAAGAATTCCGGAATTAGATACCCGAGGGAGCAAAGAGGGAGCAAGTTGCCACGCTGATTTAATACCTCATAGTCGAAAGGTGGGCTACTAGAACCAAAAATTGCTGTGTTTGTAAATAAATAAGTGATTTGAGGGCACAAAAAGCCCGGATTTAAACTTCTAAAATTATTTTGAACATAAAATATTTCAGTTTGAGGGATGTTAAGGCCTCTAAGGGTAGGTACTTTTTAGGTATCAAATAAGTTCCTCTGCGAAAGTTCCGTCGTGAAAACGGCCATTAAGAACTTTACGGGAAGGCCGTCTGGTCCGGTAGATTTGTTGGTGTCTAGAGAGTTGAGTATTTGAAGTACTTCATGTTCGGGGTATTCCATGTCAACCGGGACAGCCAAAATCGGCCGCCTCTGCGATTTTGTTCAAACTTGGTAGGGGAAAGTGGGTGTATTGCGCCCTCCTAACCAATTGCGCCCACCAACATTCCCACGAATTCAATGGCATGTTTATAATTTTGTGTTCGAAAACAATATTTTCACCACTTGATAGTTCATTTTATGGCCCAAGCTCTCCGACGAAGCCAATCAGCAGGGCTCAGTTACGCCATCAAAGATATTACGGCGTTTTCTTAGCTTTTTTGCAGTATTTTGAACCGTTGGCTATAAAAATCTGTGATACGTGTGTGATTTTCAGAGTGATATTTAGAAAGAAAGCCCATTTTTTAATTATATTTCACTTAAACAGTAAACTTCCTTCAGCATATTTATGATAACTTCTACGCTTTTATTAAAAAGTACCTCAATTCTAATTGCGCCCATGGCAATTGCGCCATGGGGGCGCAAATAGAATAATGGTGTAGCTATTGTATCACGACAGTATGAATGCACCATTAACTGATTGCAATAAAGAAGGAGTTTAATGCCAGGCAGGGGAGCAGCCCGCTGTCGCCAGTCCGCAAATTATTTCTCTCGTCAAACTTATAATGCAGCTGCCATTTAGGCTGACAACTTGTGGTGTAATTGACAAAATACGGCATTTTCAACATGGACTCCGGCGTGAGAGGTGACAGCTATGATCAAAAAGTAAAAACTGATGTCAACAAGTTGTCGAAACGATAAAAATTAATAATTTTGAGAGAAACGATTGAAAATTTAACCATACTCTCACATATATCTAGTCGGTTACATAAAACGTTTTCGTTGCACTTTTACAAACATACGGACACATGTAAAGTTATTTACCTGGGCAAAAAACATCGCTATTTATATCTACATTTATTATTTATCCAGCCTGATTAACATTATAAATGTTTAAGTAAGCCGCAATGACATTACACTGCCGGGGTGTATGCATTCCGTCGCATTCGCTTAGCCATGTTTAAGTATAGGGCGCAATTTGATTCTAATTGTGCCATCCCCCTGGCGCAATTTACAGCAGTTGTCGGTAAATGCGCCCTCTTGCATGTTTCTGAAAAGCAGCTGTCGGAAGCAAACGAAACATTCTTAATTGATCGGGAGGCTCTTAAATCGTAGCTAATGAGTTCCTCTTTGAAGTGGTTACCATTGCATGCTTATATCTCCAGCGGTTTTCTTACAATTAGCGTTTTTCCTTAAGGTGGCGCAATTCACCCTCCTTCCCCTATACTTATTGGCTATTGGGTGAAACCTCTGAGGGTGAAAGGTGTTGTGTAATGTGTATGTGGTGGCCAAGGGTTGAAACGTTCTTAAGCTGTCAAGAGGGAAACAAATCAGAGGTATCTCGGACCGGTATTATTCGTGCTTATCTCTCGAGCTATTATTTTTCCGAATACGGGCTTGGGGGAACTGTGACAAAAGAAGAGACCGAAGAGACTAGACTGAAGGAATTTTGTGAAACGCGTGAAACGTGTACCTATGGACTTTCGAAAACGAATAAATAACTTTGGAAGTGACATATAATTTTGGAACTTATTTGGGAACATTTGGCGATCCTGCCAGGATACTAATGGAAGAATATCTGGAATTGGCGCAGAGATATGGACTGACGGGACCAGACGTGCTGAAATATGCAACGGAACAGAAGGAGAAGGCCGAGGAAAGAGCGGAAAGAGCTGCAGCGAGAGAAAGAGAAAGAGAAGCACTGGAAAGAGAAAGAGAAGCAAAGGAAAGGGAAAGAATAGAGAAAGAAAAAGAGCGAAATGAGAGAGAAAAGGAGAGACAACATGAACTTGAGCTCGAACGCCTCAGGGCAGACAGAGAACACTCGGCGGAACACTCGCCGACAGTGACGGCCAAGAAACCGAAGTTACCATCCTTCGTCGACGGCCGTGACGATTTGGATGCCTACTTAGCGCGCTTTGAGAGGACGGCTTCTGCTAATGGTTGGGCAAGAGAGGAATGGGCCACTAACTGGTGTGCCCTTCTGACGGGGCGGGCTCTAAATGTATATTCGCGTCTAAGTGAGCGCGACGCGAACGATTACGGCCGGCTAAAAGAAGCCCTACTGCAGCGCTACGGGCTGACGGCGGAGGGTTATCGCCGAAAGCTCCGAGAGAGCGGACCCGAGCCGGACGAAAGTCCCGCTCAGTACCTGGAGCGACTGGCTGGTTATTTACGCCACTGGGTCAAATTAGCGAGGACCGACGTCGAAGACCTGATTTTATACGAGCAGTTCATGACGGTGTGTCCAAAACCACTGGAAACTCACCTGAGGGAGCGAGTCGACTATGATTTGAAGGAGCTGGGTGAGCAAGCAGCGAAATTATTAGAAGCCCATGGCCGCTCGCTGTACAGTTGGGCCAGACGCTCTGGTCCCGGCGGTGATTCATCGCCATCGCGTGACAACCGATCTCACGCCTCTGCTTCAGCGCTGCCGGTAGCCATCCAAGAGGGATGTATGTTCTGTGGATTTCCTCATCCGTCTGAAGAGTGCAGAAAGGTGAGGGACCTCACACCAGCCGAGAGACGAGAGCGCCTGATGCGCCGGGGTGGATGTTTCTGGTGTCTGAAGCCGGCCTCCCACCGGGCAGCGAACTGCCGCCAGGGTAAGCCGCGCTGTTCGGTCTGTAGCGGCAGACATCACCCGCTGCTGTGTGACCCGTCGCCTGCCGGGACAGCCGCAACCGGCAGCAGATCAGATGACAGCGTGCCATCCCGCCAGTCTGTCACGGTGATAGCCGCGAGCTGCGAAGCCAGCGAGCACCACAATGTGGTCCTCATGCAGACGGCAAGGGTGGAGGCATCAGGTCTGAACGGCACGCGCCGCGTGCGCGTCATGTGTGACTCAGGGAGCAACACGACCTTCATCCGTTCCGACACCGCGCAGAAGCTGGGTTGACGAGTTCTTGCTGTGGAACCACTTAGGGTGAGCACGTTCGGAGGAGGCCAGTCAGTAGATCAAACGAGTGCAAAGGTACAGGTGGGGCTTAAGATACAGGACGGATCTTTGCTCCAAGTAACGGCATACAAAATCCCCAAAATCTGCAGTCCGCCTCCTGTCATCAGCCGTGACGAAGTGCAGCAGCACGAGCATCTCGGGGGCTTAACACTCGCTGAAGAACAGAGTGGTGCAGCAGTCGAAGGCGATGAAATAGAAATCCTTACCGGACAGGATTTATTGCAGGGTGTCTTTGACGGTGAGACGCGTCTGGGTCGGTCTGGACCAATGGCAATCAGTTCGAAGCTAGGGTGGATCTTATGCGGCCGCTTGAGCGGAGCTTCTGGGACACAGCAGCCGATGATGACCAACTTCGTGCGCACGGAGTCGGTGAAGACGACGCTGGAGGGAATTGGCATAAGCAGTGTGGGTGCAGACGACGCTAACTCGAAGGAATTGCTGGAGATAGCGGCTGTGAAGCAGTTCAACGAGACTTGCACTCGTCTCCCTACCAAACAAGGCCACTATCAAAACCGCTGGCCGTGGCGGGACCTTCCCTCGAACGAGTCCACATCTCTCTCTCTCTCTCTCTCTCTCTCTCTCTCTCTCTCTCTCTCTCTCTCTCTCTCTCTCTCTCTCTCTCTCTCTCTCTCTCTCTCTCTCTCTCTCTCTCTCTCTCTCTCTCTCTCTCTCCTGAAGACCTGCGAAGTTGCCTCTGGTCGGGCGCATGCGCTTTCTCACCACGCGGTCTTCAAGAACGACTCAGTGTGTGACGAGGGCACCGGTGATGAGGAGGTGAAGGAGCACCACTCGGAGGGCGGCAGCAGCTGTCTGACCGTGCTCGTCCTTCTGGTCCTGCTGGCCGGCGTCGGTGTCCTTCTGGCGCTCTTCTACGTCCAGTCACAGGGCATCCCCCACGTGGACACGCCTGCCCCTCAACCGGCAGCAGCGCCGCGCGTGAAGACTATCGTGGTCGAAAGCGTCAACTCACCACCACCTGCCATCGACCGGGGAGAAGGCGCACCAGCCGGCCAGCAGGAGCAGGATTCCGATGAACCAACAATTGATCAGGCAGCTTTGAGCCGGACCAGCAGCAGGCTGAAGAGGTGACCCCGGTGGCGGACGCTGACGAGCGCGTGGACGTGACGGAACCGGCAGTCGAAGAGCCGCGCGAGGTCGCAGAGGAGGCAAAGACCGTGGAACACGCCGAAGTAGTAGAAGAAGTCGAAGTAGCGAAGGGAGCAGTAGTAGCGGAAGAAGTTGGGGTAGTTGATGAGGTGGAATTCGCGGTGGAGGACGATCATCAGGAGGAAGTGCCAGAGGTTGCGCTTGAAGCGGAGGAGACAGAGGAGGTGGTACCCAAGGTCGCCTTAGAGGAGCAGCAGGAAGAACAGGTAGCTACACCGTCCAAGGAGCCGGCCCCCAACACTTTTCCGTCCCCTGACAGTGCGCCAGCAGAAACTAATACACCGCCCATGCCAGTCCAGGGCCGCGGAGTCAGTAAAGCAGCCTGGGATAGAGACTCCCAAGGAAGCTGTGAGACAGAGAAGCCCGTTGGAAAGGCGGCAGAAAAGGTTTGAACCAAACCGACAAAATATCCTGTAGCAAAAGAAACGTGACTGACTTGAACATGATCCAAGAAGGGTGGGCTGAGCTCCACCCCGGGGGAGAATGTTGTGTAATGTGTATGTGGTGGCCAAGGGTTGAAACGTTCTTAAAGGTAGTGTGCCACCTTTGAAAGATTTCCCATTTTATTTTTCCTAGGATAAGAAGCTTCTGTTTTTACCTAATATCGCAAAAAAAATCAAAAATGGGCCTGGAATAGTGCCTTTTTCGCCTAAAAGTTTTTCGGTTTTTAGATATGTATAACAACTGTAGTGGGCTCACCTGCAAACAGGCGTCGGGCAACAATCGCGAATGCGGCGCACTTGTGACAATAAGCAAAGGTCATTATAGTGTTACGACCATACGACGTACGGGAAAGAGTTATCAGCTGTCTAATCGTAGACAACACAATGTCGAGCCTTAAACTGTAAGCCCGTATTGGTATTGTTTCTTTTATTTGGCTGTCGAACATTATTTATGGTTTGAAATATGATTTTATGTAAAATAATTGATATGAAAAAGCCGTCTTATAAGTTATGATCCCATTTCACCACACGCAAGTGGCAGAAATGACAATGATCAGCTGACGCATTTTTCTTGGCCGAAGTCAGAGCGCGCGGCCCGACGCACCACGCGTATTTGGAAATTCCGACCTCGACGAGCATCAGAAGCCACCTAACAGGTGTGTTCGAAACCGCAGGAGATGATGATGAACGGGTTTATCGAAACTTGATTGGATGAGCATATCGGTAATAGCGATTTCAGTGTGTGCATTTATTGTTCATAGTGGTGTGAAATGTGGTTGGGGTACGACCGACAACCCGTCGGGGCGAATTTCGCACTGGGGTACTCAAAATTTGAAGAATTTAAGACGTTTCCATGAGTTTTGAAGGTATGGATAAGTTCTAAAAATCCGGTTCTCCTTATCTGGGCCATTAACTCCATACGGTCCAAGAAAGCTGGCACACTACCTTTAAGCTGTTAAGAAGGAAACAAATCAGAGGTATCTCGGACCGGTATTATTCGTGCTTATCTCTCGAGCTATTATTTTTCCGAATACGGGCTTGGGGGAACTGTGACAAAAGAAGAGACCGAAGAGACTAGACTGAAGGAATTTTGTGAAACGCGTGAAACGTGTACCTATGGACTTTCGAAAACGAATAGATAACTTTGGAAGTGACATATAATTTTGGAACTTATTTGGGAACAAAAGGATTTTGTCATATGCCCTCGGGCTACAGAGATACAAGTCGCTAAACTTCTGCTTTTTTAGCAGAATTGGACGTGTATTGCAATCTTGAAAGATCTATAGCTTCAACATTTTTGAAGCTATTAATTTCAAACAAACTGAAACGTGTACATAAGGAGTTATGCTAGTACAATTTGACAATTTTACATTTTTTGGTGATTTTGAATTTATTTTATTTTGAATTTATTTCTTAAAATGTAATTTGTGAAAAATGGGTACCCCTCGATTTTGCTCAAATTTAGATATTGTCTTCCACTACACGTAAGGCACACGTGCTGAGAAAATTAGAGAGGGCCAACGATAACTTTGGATGATGTAGCAACAAGTAGTGCAACGTAGCACGGGCGGTGGAAGGGGCCGATTTCGCTAACTCCACCTGTTTATCGCCAATAACTCACGCCATAATCATTATATTAACGTCAAACTTTCAGTATCTGTCCAGAATCGAATTGCAAATCCTCCTGTGCAAGAAATAGGTAAATCGGTCCACACCTTTTCTAGTTATAGCGGTGTAAAGTCAAACATTCCTGCCGGAGCAGCTCGGCAGCCGGCGCCGGCCGTTGCCGCCTGAATGGTAGACTGTGCCGGCACGGGACGGTGCCATCTTTCCACCGCGCTTCTTACCGCTGATTATGGTGCAAACATAATATGTGACTATGACGTTTCCCGCGTCGGCCGATCCCCGCCTCTGCCGGCGACATCTTACTCTTAGCAAGCCACTAACTGCCAAATTTATGGTAGGATTAACTAGAGATTTTCATAACACCACAAATGTCGTATAAAGGAAGAAATAGGAAAATCGGCCAGTATCTCTTGGAGCTATGGGCGTATAAACGCAAAATAGTCACTATAGCAAATTTGATCACGTTTAACCTCATTTGATCTGGAATATATTGATCTAGGGCCATGAAATTCGCACACGATAAAGTTCCCACCTTTCTCATTAATAGAGTCGGTCAAATAGAGTCGTTCCACTGTGCTGTGCGATAGGGTGGTCAAGATAAATGTTTCCCGCGTTAAAGTCTCCCAATGAAATTATTGCCGTCGGTGTATGTGTTTGTGCCTTACATATAGTTTCAGAAAAATTGCAATCAAATGACGAAGCACTCTGGTGAACAGCATTATATGTAATATATTTAATGGAATAACCTTCTGTTCAAAATTCTAAAAGATTGCCAAAAGTTACCAAAAACACTTGAATATATTTCGGAGGCGTTCCTTCATCGGTTCAAGTCACTTGAACCGATGAAGGAACGCCTCCGAAATATATTCAAGTGTTTTTGGTAACTTTTGGCAATTTTTTAGAATTTTGAACAGAAGGTTATTCCATTAAATATATTTCAGAAAAATTGTCTAAGAAGGTTTGTAGTCGGTCGCTGGGAAGGTTAGGTGGGAGATAAATACTACTGACTATGAGTGTGAATTTGTGTGTTTTAATTTTGGCTCAGACCCATTCCTCGTTCCCAGACTCGATATTTGACAGCCGCCGACCGGCCGCTGCCGCCGTCTTGGACTGCTGCTGCTGCATTACCTATACCGACTTGTACCCAACCAGACCAAGACCAGTCCTATCCTTACCAAATGTGCACACAACCAGACATGACCTACCTTGCCCTATTTTGACTAACTCACAGTGGTCACTACTCGGCTCCTACACGAACATACTAATGTTGCTCACCAACACCATGCACGGCATTGAACTCAATCCAGACCCTACCGAGACGAAACAGATCACGATTGCGCATATCAACATCAATAGCATTACCTCAGAAAACAAAATCGCTGAACTTGAACAATTCATACAAACAAATGACATACAGATTCTAGCACTAACAGAAACAAAACTTGACAATTCGGTGGCTGACAACCAGTATACACTAGATGACTTTCACCCGCCCATTACAAAACACAGAACGCGACATGGAGGAGGCGTAGCACTACATATATGTACACAAATCTTTTCCGGCTCAAAAATTGTCAAATATCGAGCCCTGATTTGTGCTCGTCTTAGCTCAAGCTACAAAACTGCTATTCCAGTTCAAAAGCTCATCTTAAAAGTGGTATATTTCCTTTAAACATGGAACAATCTCTTATCTCATATCATCGC